GGCCTGGGAGCCAAGCCATGGCAGGAAAAGCTCGTGTGTGTGTGTGTGTGTGTGTGTGTGTGTGTGTGTGTGTGTGTGTTTACAAGGAGGGGGGCGGGCTTTTTTAAATGAAAGAGAATGAGAAAGAAAGACGTTTTATTAATAAGTTTGGTGTAAATATGGTGACTGTCATGTGATTTACTGCTGATAATTAGAGACAATCTGAAACCTCAAGAGAAAGATCTAACCAAATACACACATTTGAGCTGAAAGAAATTTAAAAGGACGTAAATAATTAGAAACACATTCTAGGTCCATGGATTGGAAAATTTAACACTGTTGAGATGTGAATACTACACAAAGTAATCTACAGATTTAATGCAATCCCTATCAAAATCCCAATGGCATTTTTTTTTTCCCGAAATAGAAAAACCCATCCTAAAAATCATCCTAAAAATCTCAAGGGACTCCAAATAGCCAAAGCAATCTAAAAAAAAAAAAAAGAGCGATAGAAGACTCACTCTCCCTGATTTCAGAGCTTACCTCCCATGCTACAGTAATCAAAACTGGCATGAAGACAGACTCAAAAGAACCGAAAGCAAGGACTCAGACAGGTATCTGTACACCGATGTTCACGGCAGCATTATTTACAACAGCTAACATGTGAAAGCAACCCAAGTGACCACCAATGGAAGAATGGATAAACAAACTGATATATACATACAATGGGATAGCATTCAGCCCTAACAAAGAAGAAAATTCTGACAAACTGAGGAGATAAATGAGGTCCCAGAAGACTAGAGAGAGCCGGGTCCCTGGAACAAGCAGGCCCCGGATGGAAGGCCTTCTCTTAAGAAGGTTCCTCAGGATAAAGAGACCTTTCAGGAGTTAAGCTGCTCAAACAGTGTTTTCTCTGTAATGAGGGACTGAGGTGATTCCTGGGAGGAAAGAAAAAGAATAGAGTTAGGAGTTTTTTTTAAAAGAACAGAAGAGCTTTAACAACAATGAAAAATTACCCCGAAGAGACAGAATGCTCACATCAGGGTTGCCTCAAAGACTGTGTGGACGAGCAGTGGTACCTATAGCACTGTACTGCCGTTTTTCTCCGGTGATGCTCTGTGGCCAGCCCAGGAGCCGAGGAGAATGACAGAATTCTCAGCATTACTGGATGGAGTGGTGGTTGGGAACTGAGAGACAAAGGAGCCACAGAGAGGGTGACAAACTGGAGGACATAATAAAAGTAAGGTGGTAGAAGAAGAGAGAAAGAATTCCAGAATTTTAACTGGTATTTACAGAGAAGGTCACTGTAAATATTATGCTAACTGGTTTGCTGTAAGAAACCCACCATAAGAAAAATATATTAAAAAGTGAAGTAAGGAGCAGTTAATAAGCCCCTACTATATGCCTCGGGATGATATAGGATGAATATCCACAGATCCCAAGTAAGATGAACACTTGGTCCCTCATTTTGATCATATTGGCAATGTGCTTAGCTACAATCTCGGGGGTGGACATGTGACTCCATTTTGAACAATGTGATTTGGCAGAAGTCACTGAGTCACTGACTGAGGCCTCTAGGATAGCTCTTTAAGACGAGGGCATCCTCAGCTGGAGCACACGTCTGTGTCCCTGGCCCTTCCCTCTGCCTGGGACACAGACTCAGTGCTGAAGGTGGGGCAGCCAGGAATTGAGAAGCATGAGGACAAAAGCCATTTTCTAGAATGACCAAGCAGAAAGAGAGAAAGCGCTGGGCCCCTGATGCCATGAGATGCTAAAGGCTCTCACTGCGCTTCTTGTCGTGGGGGACAAAATAAGTCCTATTATCAGCCTTGGCCCTTCCCTCTGCCTGGGACACAGACTCAGTGCTGAAGGTGGGGCAGCCAGGAATTGAGAAGCATGAGGACAAAAGCCATTTTCTAGAATGACCAAGCAGAAAGAGAGAAAGCGCTGGGCCCCTGATGCCATGAGATGCTAAAGGCTCTCACTGCGCTTCTTGTCGTGGGGGACAAAATAAGTCCTATTTGGTTAGGTCATCATAAATTTGCTTTGTTGATTACATCTGCATACACCTCCCACTATTCCTGACCCTAAATGACAGAACTGGGATTTGAACCTGTCCCCAGAGCCCTCTTCATGGCTCCGCTACATTGATAAGCAACAGGAACCCATTACTGTGCCTTTAAGAAGCACGGTGGGGGAAAATTACCAAAGCAACTTGCTGAAAAGATCACGTAGGGAAGGTGGGGGAAAGACTTAATCCATGCGTGGGGTGGTATGGGCAAGAAATAAGTAGGGGAGAACAGGTATTATGGAGAGAACCCCAAGCAATGAAAAACCAAGAGAACTTAGAAACTGATTTAGGAAAGGGGGACGAGGGATAACGAAGGAGGAAACAAGAATGCTGACCGCACTGGCTGGGGTTGGGCAAAGGAGAGAAGAGGCAGACGATGACCGAAAAGGAAGTTTGTTCTAACGGCTCCACTCAATTCATTCATTGCAATGTAACCGCTAAGTACTTAAATACATACACAGAAACCTTTAGACATTTAAATGCTTTTCTTCCTCCTTTCGCTAAGGGGAATAAATATGAACTGTTTTCCCTGATAAACAAAAGGAGCTCAGCAGCTGAAACAGCCTGTTCTGAATCAAAAGCTAGATGCTATAAGTAAGTGTGCATCCTTACTTTCTTTTGCGCCAAAGGCTAACATATTCATTATACTCTATGATAAACACGTCCTGGAAGCCTAACTGGTCTTGAGCTCCGTTCTAGGTGCTATAGGAAAATACCCACCCTCATAAAAA